TCGACTAAAGTCACCAACTCCCTACCTTCAATCAAGGATGCTCTATCAACCTAGGCAGATATTCTCATTCTAGGTTAAAGCAGAAACAACAGGAATTTGATCAGGATTCAAGTCATTCAATCATTCAAACCTCAATCGAATATAATCAATTCATAGAATTAGTACTTGGGTTCATACAATCAAACCTAACATACAAATCTAGGGTTCTCCATACCCAGATGAATGGGAGAACTACTCCATGGAGAAAGAAGCAAAAGCAGAATCAGACGCGGAATTCATACCGTGAAGGATGGATTCCTGCTCCTGGATGTTGATCGGCACTTCTCCAAGCTCAAACTGGCCTCCAATGGTGATGAAGATCAAGCTAGGGCACTTGGAGACTCTTGTTCGTCACTTTCTCTCTCTAGGAATCGCTCTATCTCTCTCAAAACTCGAATCCCCTTCTCTTTGGCTGAAAATCTGCTTAAAAGGGCATCAGTGGCCAAAGCACGGTCGAGGGCACGGCCGTGTAATGCCTCAGCCCGCCCGTGCTTTGGCTAGGGTTAATTACACGGCCAGTGCATTGGGGGAAACACGGGCGTGTTTGATGATGGACACAGCCGTGCTTGTGGTGGCCACGCCCGTGTTTTTAGCCAATGTTTGCCAAACCCGAATTTGCTCTCGGCAGTAAAAGCACGGCCACAGAACACGGCCGTGTTCTGTTTTGGGTGTGCTCGTGTTTTGGCTCCAGCTCGACGAAATGACTTCCGAATGCCCCGAAACTTGTGCTTAGCCTTTCCTTTGACGCCTGGGACCTGAAATATGATAAAATAGCACAACCCGGCGTAAAATCGGCCAAAATACACGACTATGCCTCTCAAACGGATAAAAATTAGGGGTGCAAATACGTGCAAATACATCGTTATCAGATACTCATTGATGGCCCCAGAGAATGTATACCCATTGGCGATCATGTTGATGAATGTTGGGGCAATCTCCATGGTTGCATCACCAGCCGGAATGACAACACCTGAATCTCGAGCTCAAGTCCTTAGATTCAAGCGAGCCTTGATTAAACGATCCTCCTCCGCCATGATGAGAGGCTCGATGATGCGCCGTGGTGGTGGTGGTGTCGGTGGTGTAGGGATGACAGGTGGTGAAACCAGCCCTCTCTGATGACGATTATGGGTTAGGGAAGGTTTCACCATCGCTAATAACCTAATTAACTACAAATCATTGTATTGGTGGCCTGTCAACACAAAGTATTAAGAAATTTCATGCAATACAGATTGGAAGAAAAGAAAAAAATGAATTAATCCATCATGTCTAGAAATAGATATATCCTATGGTTTTTCCCCTAGAAATTGGGGTTTAGTTCATGACGAAATCAAAAGATATAATCATATCAGGACACTAATAAAGGCAAGGGATGAAAATACTTGAGGAGAACCCAGGCTGCGATATGATGCCCTTCGAAAACTCAGTGCTTCTCCTACGCTTGTGATCACCCAGCTTTTTCCCGATCATCGTCCGCTTCCTTCGCACAAGCCGCTCTTTTCAAAGAAAATTCTGGTACCGTCTGCAATTGAATTTCCCCACCCCCACCCCCCACCCCCCCACAATAGGACAAAGAAGATGAGCCTTTTAAATCCCTCTCTATTGCGATTCACGTCCTTTCTCCATGTGCGCTGCTCACCCATTAGAATCTGGTCCAAGTAATTCCTCTGGCCCAAATCCAATTAATTCCTTGCTCCCCTTAATTGATCTCACATCCGTGCCACAGTAGGAATTCTTCTAATTGGCCGGGGAAAACTGGGCCTTGTAGTGTGCTTCCATCGCTGCATTTTGCTTGTACTTTCTTTGTCGTTTGACTATGCAATCACAATTCTCATTTTCCTCGCCTAAAACACACAAATACATGGCACTAGGTGGTAATAGTTTTATAGCCATTCCAAGGTTAGTTGGTCTTAAACAAGCATTACATCTCAAACATATCTTAAACAAGCATTACATCTCAAACATATCATAAGATAATTTCATTTAGCACGCAAAATATAATATGGTTTCGACAATTATCATCACTTCGTGTTGAAATATATGCTACAAATTCTAAACTATTTTCTCAAACATGTGGTCAAGTACTAGATGGCAATGGAGGGTTTTGGGGAAGTGAGATTGATGTCTCGTTGAAGGCATTAGGCGGCTTGATGTGATAGCCAAAATTTGGCTAAGGCATGGAATAAGCTTTAATGGCAAGTTTCATCCGCCCGTGTTGGCTTGATCATTGAAAGCCAAAATTTAGCTAAGGCATGAGACAAGCTTTTGAAGTCGAGTTCCATCTCGCCATGTTGGTTTGATGTGATAGCCAAAATTTAACTAATGCATGGAACAAGTTTTGAAGACGAGTTCCATCCGGCTATGTTGCCTTGATCATTAAAAGCCAAAATTTAACTAAGGCATGAGAGAAACTTTGATGTCGAGTTCCATCAGGTCGTGTTGGCTTGGTCATTGAAAGCCAAAATTTGGCTAAGGCATGGGACTAGCATTAACGGCGAGTTCTATCTGGCCTTGTTGGCTTGATCATTGAAAACAAAATTTTGGCTAAGGCATGGGACAAATCTTTGACGTCAAGTTCCATCTCGCAATGTTGGTTTGACGTGATAGTCAAAATTTAACTAAGGCATGTGACAAGTTTTGACGACGAGTTTTATTCGGCCAAGTTGGCTTGATCATTAAAAGCCAAAATTTAACTAAGGCACGAGACAAGCTTTGATGTTTAGTTCCATCCCGCCGTGTTTTCTTGATGTGATAGCCAAAATTTGGCTAAGTATATGACTTCGTGATGTGGCAAGTGGCCATCAACTACTTCGAACCACATGGCTACCCTAGATTGCGAGAAACAAAAGAAGAAAGGGAGTTGTGATTGCTCGTGGCCGAGACCACAAAAGAAAGGAAGATGGAAGGCGGCTTATGATGGGGAGGTTGTTCTTGGAGTTTGGAAGGCCCCTTATCATTTTTTTGACTTGCTGTTCTTGGAGTCTCCACATTCGAGACTGCATAAATTTGAAGTTTGGAACTTGGAAACCAATTCCCTTGAGATGATGCATGATAATTTATTACGAGTCAAATGAGATTTGAGTATTTTCAATTTTGGGTAGATATATATCTTATTGTTTTTAGTTTGATATAATACCAATTATATTGGGCATCCAAAAGTAAATGCATATTCAATTCTATTGCGGTTTATGATTTTTTGTTGTTGTTGTTGTTATCAGGGGCGGAGCTACATGTAACCTAGGGTGCCCCCCCTGGAATTGGTCCCGGCCCCTAGGATTTTAAGGATATTTAGTAAAAATTTTATAAGTAGACTTGTTCTGTAAATCATGTTGTGTAATAGTCATGTGGTCTAATGGTAGCCACACTTGACTTATATTTTAAAGCACCTGGGTTTGATCCACCTTGGCCATCTACATTTTGTTTAATTATTTTCGGCCCCCGGTCTCGAAATCCCCAGGTTGTTATGAAACAAACTAGATGTGGAAACACCAACATTGAAGTTTGTGAATTGGGTGGAAGACAATTACTGAAATGATTGATATTGTTTTTCTTTTGTGTAGAGTCATCTGAACCCGAATAGAGCCATATGTGTCAGACTCAAATGAGGTGATCCAAATTAGATCCAATCCAAACTCAAAGCAAATCCAAAACCTATAACAAAAGTGTGTATGAGTGAGTCTATTTGAATTCGACCCAATATATATTCCTATGAGTTATGACAATTTGCGTCAAATATAATTATCCAATGATTCGAATCATTGTGATTGTGATGCCTAGAGACTAGATAATCACGATGTGTAGTGTTTACTTGAATCATTGATCTGCAAGCAAGGCTTGGCTTGGCTGTGTGGTGGGAAAGCCGTGTATAGTGGTAGTGTCTAGTGTGTACAAACATTGACAGGGAATCTTCATCCAGCATAGTCCAATCGCATAAAGTGATATTAACGCGATCAAATACTCTCATCAGCTGGAAGAGAAGGATAATAACTAATTAAGGAGAAGGGGTCAAAGCCCAAAGCTCTGACTGAGTAAGTTTGTTTCCTTTGTGCTTTAAAAAAGATACAACACATAGATAAAACCACAAGCTGAACCTTGAAACCATTAGCGATTTCCGTTCGTCGGCGTGCTTCCCGCCGTCGCGCGCGCCTCTGATCGGTGGCGGTCCTCCTTCTCAGGCCGTCTATCTCTTCTCTTTGCCTGAGTTTCTACTCCTCTTTGAGTTTTCGATGTCCTCCATAGGTCAGTCTTGGGCGGATTTATTCGGCATCGCCGAAGCAAATCAACAGGTTTATATTGAACCGGAGCTCGTTGATGGCGGATTGAGGATCTTGGAAGAGATCGTTCAGGAAGGTGAAGATCGATGGAAGAATAGTCTTGTTGGTCAGTTTCTCCATTCCACCCCTTCTGTGAAGCAGCTTCAGAGTTGGGCGAATAGGCTTTGGGGAAAATCGGGTCTAGTTAGGGTTTCGAGGTTTAGCGAGCAGCTTTTCCTCTTCCGATTCCCCAATGGGAAAGCTGCAGATTGGGTCTTTACTAGTGGCCTGTGGCACTTCAATAACAACATGTGCTTTCTTCGGTAGTGGTCAGCTGGAATTAGAGCGGTAAATTGCGATTCCACCATTCCTATCTGGATTTGCTTTCAAGATCTCCCTGTTGATATTGCCACTGCCACTGGTAGAATCTTGGCTCGTATGGCTAGTATATTGGGTCAGCCTTTGTGGTTTGATCAATCGACTAGATTGGGTAGGAGAATGGGGTTTCCCAAGGTCTGTGTCGAAATTTCTATTGATTCATCTTTCCCAGAGGCTCTAAAGCTGGTTCCAGACCGAAAGCCTGCATTCTTGGTGAACTTGGAATATTGCAATAAACCAATAGGTTGCCAGAAGTGTAGGGTGTTTGGGCATCAGTGTGATGATTCAGGGGGAGAGATAGAAGGGAATCAAGGAAGTCAGGAGACTGTAGAGATGGGAGGTGCGGAGGTTGCTACAGGAAGTGTTGGACAATTGATTCTGGACTCTATTCTCACTTCAAAGGGAAAGGCTCAGAAGTCTGCTGAATCAGCTTGTAGGAACTTGAATCTTGTTGTGGCTAACCTAGTTAAATCCATTGAGCAAGGTGTGTTAACTGGATGGCAAATGTCGAATGCTGTGGAGTTGCCTACTGATAGTTAGTTTCAGACAGCTATGGTGGGGCAGAATCATACTGCTTCAACTGCTGATGAGGGTCCTATCACTCCTGTTGCAAACATATATCAGAGTTTAGCTGTGGAAAATTTTGAAGTTGGTGAAATTGTAGTGAGTAGCCCTGTTCTCAGCAATCTGGATGAGTTTCCTGGATTGGAGGTGGGTGGAAAGGGTAAAGGTAAGCAAGGTAAGAAGGGGCTAGGTAGGCCAGCAAAACCCAAACCTAAGAAATGAAGGTATTTGCTTGGAATATAAGGGGATTTAATCACCCTGACAAGTAGCACCAGATTTTAGAAGTAGTAAATAGAGAAAAAGTGGATGTGTTTGGAGTCATTGAAACTCGGGTAAAGGAATGAAAATCTAAAGAGATAGTGGATTCCAAGTTTGATAGATGGGAGTTTGCTCATAACTATGAGCATTCAGTTTTAGGTCGGTTGTGGGTCTTCTGGAAGAGGGATCTGGATTTTACTATGTTGGAGAAATCAGAGCAATTCGTACATGGAGTAGTAAGGGGAGATAAGACTGCAAAGATCACCTTTTTTTATGGCTCAAATGATGAAGGTGCTAGAAGAAATCTGTTTCATCACCCTGTACTTAAGCCAGAAATTTTACCTTGGCTAGTGTTAGGAGATTTTAATGCGGTGCGCAGTGTTAATGAAGCTTCTAATAATCCAGTTAGTTCACAGAGTATGGTGGATTTTGATGAGTGGATTGTTCGTATGGAATTGGAGGAAAGTAACTTTGAAGGCCCTTGGTTTTCTTGGACTAACAGGCAGGAGGGGAACCCTATTACAAGGAGGATAGATAGAGTTCTTGTAAACTCTAGTTGGTTGACTGCGTTTCCACACTATGCAGTTAACCTCCTTCCTCCAAGGCTTTCTGATCACTGTGGGCTGCTTATGAATACATACATCCATATTTCTTCTTTGCCTAAGCCATTCAAGTATTTTAGTAGCTGGGAAACTCATCCTCAATACAAGCATATTGTAAAAGATGCTTGGAGTAAACAATTCAGGGGGACTCCTATGTTTATAGTGTGCCAGGAGTTGAGAGAGGTTAAAAGGCAGTTGAAAAAGCTAAATAGATCCTCCTATTCAGAGATTTCAGACAGAGCGAGACTTGCAAGGAGAGAAGTTGAAGATTTGCAACTGGAGGCCCTCCTTCAGCCTTCCCCTGAATCTTTACAAAAAGTAAATGAATGTCAGATTCTGCTGTCTGGCCTTCTTAAAGAAGAGGAGGCTATTTACAGGCAAAAGTCTCTAATCCTTTGGGTTAAGGCTGGAGACTTAAATACCTCCTTCTTCCATAACTTTGTGAAAGCTCGCCAGGCTCGTTCAACTATTAAAAGGGTCATCTCAGAGGAGGGTACTGTCCTAACTGAAGTTAAGGAAATGAGTGAGGAGGCAGTTAGATTTTATCGTAATTTGCTGGGTACAAGGAATCCTGATGTTGAGAAAGTGAGTAGTGGTTTGAGATCCCACCTATTGGTCCATACTCTCACCTCTGAACAAGCTAAACCTCTTTGTGGCTTATTATCTCGAGAAGAAGTTAGGGTATCTCTGTTCTCCATGAATGGAGAGAAATCTCCTGGACCAGATGGCTTCACAGTTGGTTTCTATCACCATAATTGGGAGATTTTGGGTGATGAGATCACTGCTGCAGTCATGGATTTCTTCAGGACAGGGAAGCTACTTTCAGAGGTAAATTCTACCTATCTGGTCCTCATTCCTAAGGTGCAAAATGCTGATTGTATGAAGCAATTTAGACCAATTTCCTGTTGCAACATACTATATAAATGTATATCCAAAGTTCTTGCTAATAGACTGAAAGAAGCCCTTTCTCTAGTCATTAGTCAGAACCAATCTGCTTTTATAAAAGGCAGATTAATCAGTGACAATGTCCTATTGGCTCATGAGATGGTTAGGTTATATAATAGGAAGTCTATATCCCCTAGGTGTGCTCTCAAGGTGGATGTGATGAAGGCATTTGATAGTGTAGACTGGAATTACTTAGAGACAATCATGGAAGCTATGAAATTCGCTGCTCAATTCATAAATTGGATTAGAATTTGCCTGCAGAGTATAAGCTCAGTGTATGCTTCAATGGGGGGCTCTGTAGCTATTTTTCTGCTCAAAAAGGGTTGAGACAAGGGGACCCCCTATCCCCCTGTCTTTTTACCATAGCCATGGAGGTTCTAACTTGCATGCTTAACAGAGCATATGTTGTTAAAACCCTTCCTCCTCACCCACAAACACACAGAATAGGGCTTTCCTACTTATACTTTGCTGATGACCTTCTGGTTTTCACAAAGGGGACTCCTTAGGCTGTGGGGAAAGCAAAAGCTATTCTGGATGCTTTCTATATTGTTTCTGGGTTAAAATGTAATCCTGGCAAGAGTGAAGTCTTTTGTGGAGGAGTGGATCCTAGTGTTCAAGCACTCATATCTTCTAGTACTGGGTTTGCCATTGGACATCTCCCTGTACGTTACCTGGGGATTCCCCTTATTGCTGGAAAATTGAATAATGAAGATTGTACTGCTTTGGTAGAAAAGATAACTGCAAGAATCAGGGGCTGGAAGGTGAAAAACTTATCCTATGCTGGCAAGTTACAACTCATCTCTGCTGTCATTTCAAGTATCACTCAGTATTGGATGGGGATCATTCAACTCCCAGTCAAAGTACTTAAGATGATTGAAAAAGCTTGCTCTGATTTTTTATGGATCTCAGAGGAAGAAGGGAAAAAAGCTAAGGTACTCTGGCAGGTGGTAGCAAGGCCTAAGAAGGAGGGTGGATTAGGGTTTAAAGACCTTCGAAGCTGGAACATGGCGTGTCTAGTCAGGCACCTTTGGGCTATATCCTCGAATTCCTCTTCTTTATGGGCAAATTGGGTAAGGCACTACCAACTTACCTACACTTCCATCTGGGATATATCTCTTTCCATTCCCTGTTCCTGGGCTTGGAGAAAGATACTGAAAGTAAGACCACAAGTAGCTCAGCATCTCAGGATCAGATCTGCAGGAGTGTATTGGGATGATAGCGTGATGGATAAGTTCTCTAGTTAAGCGAGTCTAGGAAACATTTCGGGTTAAGCATGAAAAAGTTCGGTGGTATTCATTGGTATGGAAGTCTTTTGGGACTCCTAGAGACAAGGTGATTGTTTGGTTAGTCATTATGAACAGAATCTCAACTCTAGATAAGGTGCAGAGGTGGAATGATTCAGTAGTAAATGTCTGTCCTTTATGCTTCTCTCTGGCAGAGTCTAGAAATCATCTCTACTTTGAATGTTCCTATTCTCAGCATGTACTTCAGGCTGTTTTTGTAGGAAGGAATATGATAGGTGCTAGCTGGGAGGGGTCGTTGGAGATTGCTATGTCTCTTTTTCGGCTAAATTGTACTGCCTCTGACTGTGGTAGGCTTCTTTGGGTGATGGTGGTGGCGGAGCTTTGGCGGGAAAGATGCAGGAGGGTTATGACTGGGGAAGTGATGACTGAAAGCAAATTGCTTAGAAAGTTGCAAGGGTTGCTGAAGCTACTAAGGAGTGGATTTCCTCAAGTAGAGCTTGCCATAATCGAGGACTACATCAATAGTATAGTGTAGTTAGATGGTGATTTGATCTCTTTGTGTTGTGCAGTTGTAATTTGATTTCTTGTGGTTGTACTGTGTTCGTTGCTTGGGTTCCAGTTGGGGGGATTTTCACTAAGTCTCCCTTTCTTGATTAATAAAACAACTTATTCATAAAAAAAACTGCATCACGTACATTGCCTCTGCACACTTTTACCCGCATTCTTTAGGTGTCCGGCCCATGGTAGGAAGGATGACACAGTAAGAATTTATTACCAGTTATGGGCGTTATTTGGACCAGCAGACGTATTTCCATTTCTTCAATTTATTGTTGGAATCTTTAACGGTTTCTACTCTCTACCGGTGTGAGTATTCAATACACTATGTAGACTTTGATGCAGGAGGTATAAATGTATGTGACACATTTAAGGATATAGGTAGACCTCTTATTTATGTTTTAGTTGCATGAAAAAAATGAATTGGGATATTGAGATCATTTTAACGCTTCTTTTCACTTGTTTTGTTTTGAATGTTTGTATTGCGTAGCTTGATCTATTGATGAGCGAGTCCACCATCCTTCTTATGTTCTCTTATTTCTTGTTTACATATACATCTTCTTCTTCTTTTTGTCTCGTGCCTCCTTTGAATAAAATAAAAAAAGTTATGACAAAATAATTTAGGGAGTTTCCTCAATCACTTAATTAAGTATCCTCAATCCTCATTTTCAAATTGAGAATTTTGGACAATTATGGTTTTGGAAATTTTAAACATAGGATGAAATTGTTGGTATTACGAATTTGAAAGAGTGTATTATTTGCTTACTGATTTTTTTTTAGAAAGTGAGATGCTATAAGGGCGCCCATGTATGATACTTAAGTTAAACGATTCTGGGCAATGCCCATGGCATCATTCAGTAACCAAAATTAGTTCAGTCTTCAATCTATAATATCAAATCATGAACGCCTAAACTAGAGGACTGAGCTTGGTAAGTAAGATAATTTGTCGCCTTATTTCATTCACTGTATGTGTGGGATATGCACACCTCCCAACTTTGTTGCATACTGGTGAATGAGATTGAAGTACCTCGTTTATCTTTGATATGTCGAAGTCGGTATATGGTAAGCAGTCATAAAGTATGTATACAATAAAACATGCTTATATCCTTGAGCCCAAGCTTGTTCTAGGCCTATGATTGCTCCTTTGATCACATCTCTAGTGATAGTGCATTTTCCAAGATTGGCTCCGAAAAAGCCAATACATCTACCTGTATTATTTTTTATGAGACCACCCGCTGCCGCTTTCGTATTTAGTTGTCTAATCGAGCTATCTGTATTCACCGCAACCCAATTAGGCTCGAGTGCTCCAATCTTGGAATTTGATTATAGATTTGTTTGATTAGATGATGGATTCATGGTCATGCTTCGAATCCCACCACTTGACTTGATATTTGCATGTTCACCTATTTGCTAATCCAAAGAACGGAGGAACTCAGCTCCAACCTCCACGCCCGTTCCTAAGCGCGTGGTCCCAAACTCTCCGCTCAATATCTACACAATATATTATGCACTTCACTCTATGTCATTGTTGCCACCTTGCACTTTGATTGGTTCTCCTTATTTGGTGGAAGGGCAACTTTGACAATTTTTCAAACACTCAAGGATCACTCGTTATTATTGGACTTTTAGTTTTCTTTTTAGTAAATGCGATTAGAATTTAGGGAAAAAAGATTTGTTTTAAGGTAAATGCTACATAATAATTATTTGAATTTTGCTATGTGTAGATTTATTTTGTGTGGTTAAGGAAAAAAACAGAGGCTATCTGAAGTTGTTTAACTCATAAATGAGATAATGCTTGCGAGTTGGATTCTGAGATGATAAAGATGATATATCGTTGTGGCGTGGATGTTTGGGAAGAGGTTCCTTCTGAATAGGCTTTTTCACATTAGGGTTTTACGTTAAACAGATAAACCAAGCATCAACCTTCAAAAGTTTTAGAATCTTAATTTCACAGTGATTTCGGCAAACATGAAGAGGAAGAAAAATGGGAAATCTTGGCAAAAATAAAATCAATTTATATTGTTTTTAATTCTTTTAATTTTCAAATTAGCATGTCTAATTTTTACATTAAATTTTGAAAGGTAAGATCACATGTTTAGTCATAGGTTAAACAATAATTCCATCCATATCGTATCGACTCGATATTTGTGTCGAATTAGATCAGACAAAAAAATCATTTTTTTTTTACTCTTTATGTAATTGCTTAAAGTCGAGATAGGTTTTATTATAAAATTATTAAATGTAAAATATGGTCCAATGGAAATAGTTGTATAATGATAAACCATTAATCATAAGTCATTGAAATTTTTCATCCGACAACCGTTCCGCTTTTGAAAATATAGGATATAGTCAATAAAATATTTAAAAATATGAGCATATTGTTAAAGGTTAAGTTTGAATTATGATAACTAAAGTTCAAATGATTGAATAACTTACAAAAGCCATTTCAAGTCAAAATATTCTTTTGCTAATATTTTTCATTTTTGCCTCTTTCAAAAATATAAATTTAATACATCTATACTAATATTTTTGGATTTGCTTTACATAATTGTCCAAATAATCAATTTCCATATCACATTTTTTTCTCCTCGAGTTTTTGTATCTTTAAATTATTTAAATGTAATACATCTATAGTAATATTATGTACATTATTTCAATAGATGACAATCAACAATATTTAAATTAAAATAGTAATAAAATTTACAAAGCTTCATTTGCTAATTATTCACATATAACGAAAGATATAGATTTTTGTTGAATTTTTTTTTATTCAGTGATGTTTAATATCTCAAGGCATTAATATAATTCCAGATAGCTTTTCATTTCATTCGTTGTCTAACTTAAACTTCTTATAGTTAAGTATAAAATGAAATACAAATTCAATAAAATTATAAAATTAACGGGCACTAAAATGCATAAACTATCAAAGTACTATTTTGTACCACCAGTGCATAATACTAAAAATCGAACTATCTACATTTAACTAAAAAATACCTAAATGACCACAAACCGGCCAACGTGCCGGATACAACACTAGTATAATATATATACAGCACTCCTAAGGGTCAGAGCATTCCTTTTCCAGCAGCAAGCAGCCGGATCTTCTTCTCCCCACAGACTCCCTCTCTTTCCCTCTCCCTCTCCTTAAATTCAGAGTCACACACCCACATTCATTAACAAGCAAAAAAAAATTGAAAGAGAAATGGCGCAAGCTTGGCTCCACTTGTGGCAGAGGCCCAGAACCGCCGCCGTCGATTGCACCGCCACCACCGAGGCCGAAACCCACAATGTCGCCGGAGTGAGGACGCCCTGCTGCTGTGGGTGCCTGACGAAGCTGATAAGGAAGCTGAGGAAGCAAGGGAGGATGATGATACGCGCCGCTGCGGCGGGATCCAGCCGTCAGCAGACGTTCCAATGCCGGTACGACCCGCTCAGCTACTCCCTCAACTTCGAACGGAGCCTGCTCGACGACGACGAGGACTACTTCCAGTTCTGCGCCTTCTCCTCCCGATTCGCCGCCCACCCCAGCAGCAGAAGCTCCGTCGCCGCCGCTACTTAACCGGAGGGAAATAGGGCATCTTTCCCCTTTTTTAAGTACTAATCATTGAAATTCAGTAGCATCTCTGTTTTATCCCCTTAATTGGGATTTTTTTTTTCTTTTCGCACAGAGAGAGAGAGAGAGAGGTAACTGAAGAATTGTAAGCTCTCTGTATTTTGAAATTTCTATATATGACCGGCCAGGATAGGTTAGTGTAGATCAAAACCCGGAAAAGAAAGGTGATTTGATTAAATCTTGAGTTAGAGTGACTCTCTTTAGCAGTAGCAGTGGCCAGAAACAGTAGAGTTGGGTCATGGGTTTCCCTGCAGTTTCACTAATTTGTGTTTCTTAAAATAAGAAAGCTTTATATACCTTGATGATGAGTTGAAGATGATCAATTATACAAAAGTTGTTCTCTTTTTCTCTTTCTCTCTCTCTCTCTATCTGGAGATTCCGAATGAACAGTACTAGTGAAGCAGTGACGATTTGATTTGCATATTACTGTCACCAGAAACAGAGACTCGTGAACTGTGATGATGATGCTATGCAACCCAACCCACGCCAGCCATCTTATACAGTACAGTAACAGTAATGGCTGCATACTAGTTCAGTTTGAGTGAGTGGAGCTGGAGCATCAAATTCAGAAGCAGCCATTGGGAAAACAGGGACCGGACAGTAACCAAACTCGGCCTCTGTTTTGCAAAACTAAAAGCAGAATGAGATCGAGATGGTGGGAATTTGAAATCAATCGAACCATAAACTAGTCTGGTTCAAAGTTCCTCTGCGCATAAACTAGTGTTAGTACATGGGAGAGAGAGAAAGACTTGGGTTCAATCAACCAACCCGCCTAGCCTAGCCTAGGTAATAAATTATTGAATGGGGCGGCAGAGGAAGCCATGTGATGCTCTGAAGAATGTGCTCTGTAACTAAGTACTGCTATTCCATACTAGCCTTCCCAAAACAAAATCAACTGTGCGTTATCTGTATCTATATATGTTAGTAACTGTAGAGGGTGGTCGTTCAATAATTAAATACTTTGTACTAATAGTTGTAGATTGAGAATCTTTGGTAGATTAAGGAACAGGGGAGAGAGAGTTGGAGGTAGGTACTATGCAAATTGCAAAGTCAGCGGAGAAATATGTTCCACAACTGGGGAGTCATTATTCGGCCACTTGATTCAAACAAGTTGTTCTTTTTTTTTCTTTTGGAGACAAACGAGTTGTTTTAAAATTCAAAGTTAGAACAAAAATACTCACTCGACCATGAACATGAATCTAGTCAATTCAGGGCATGGCACAAACTCCATAGAAGAGTCTTTCAAACGAGGAACGTGCATTCCAATTTCAAACTCCCTCCAGAATAAGTAATTAACCAACTAAACTTAACTTAGTGGCTCTGTGATTATATGACAATGGGTTTCCCTTATTTTTTATAAGCAATTATCTAGACCTAGCAATTTAGGTCCTAACTATTTGACACATCCTGAAACCGCCTGCAAAATTAGAATTGGGTTCATATTTTTGTCACCCGAAACTCGAATGACCCTAAACCGAGTGACCAACACTTATCTTAGGTTGGATTGGACAGGTTAGCGAGTCAAACCGTTCTCATTCACCCATCTAAAACTTTCATCATTTCCTGTGCCAGCCGCCAAGAGTACGATTCAAAATTTATCTGCTATAAACAGTAACCTTAAATAAACCAATCCGAAATAATCCAACCCGACTTGGTTGTCAGGTCCACAATTATCAAATAGGTTCCTAAACAAAATGTCAAGTATTTGAGTTGCCAATAATATAACATAAATTTCTATGTATTTAGAAAACTATGTTGTTCTTCTTTACAATTAACGGCAACATTGGCAGAATTAAACATATTGTCACGTAGATTCACGAATAATATTCGTTACATCCAAATAATATTTGAAATTTTGGACAAAAACTTTCTTTTTATTATGAGAGGAAAAATAAATTATTATTTTTTATTTTTCTATGTGTCTTGCATTTTCAATTTCACTTTGTGCAACCTTGCATCTATTAGAGTATGAGTATCTTACAAGCGCCAACTATATTGATATAATTCTTCTTCCAATTGCATATTAAGTGTGAGCACTTCTACTATGCTATATAGAATTGGTGCTTTAATGTACAACTTAAAGTTGTACCATAACATTAAATGTATAAGTTTAGGTTGTACCATAAAGCAATTTGTACCATTATGTTATGGTACAACTTTAAAACTTGAAGTTGTACCATCACATAAAGGTACAAGTTCAAGTTGTACCATAAGAGAATTTGTACCAAAAGTATAGGTACAATCTGAAGTTGTACCATAACGTAAATGTATAATTTTAAGTTGTACCATAAAAGCAAAAACCTATAGCACAAATACTATATAGCATTGTAAAATTTCTCATTGTCATGTACAATTTAAAAATTAATAAATACTAGTAATGTGGATGCTCTGATAAAAATGGACAAAATCAATGTTTGGCAATAATGTGAAATGTTGACTATTTTATCATGTTAACCAAATCACCCAGCAATCAGCATACTACCCCTGCATTTTCAAATCAAAGCATACACAGTAAATCAAAACAAAATGACCCACATCTACATAGAGTTGGGGAAAGAGGTGACTAAAACCAGAAGCCTCTAGTCCAAAACAAAAGGTCTTATTTGAAATGAGCTACTTGTTGAACCTAATCATTTCTCCTCCTGAGCTGACCGAACAGCATGGCTCATAAATCTCCAACGAACTCTGCCTGCCTAATGAAGACAAACCATATATTAATTATTATTAATTAATTTAATTATATTAATTGGCAAGCTTAATCTACTGTTGCATACGACAAAATAGGGAATGCCACGATTTTAACGGAAACAACATCATTTAACACTTGGGTTACTGTTCATAACAAGGGGCTTTTAATTATGCAGTCAATTCTATGTTAGGCCGGTTTGGAAAGACAAAGGAGAAAGGAAGGAGAAATTCATGGCATATCTGCGTTAAAATTATTGAGAGAATATATATTGATTGTTAGAACATATATAATGATTATTTCGGTGCACTCAATTTTTTGGTATAGCAACTTCAAAAGTAATCATAAAACAACAAATTTTGAACGTTAATTAATTTAATTGGCAAGCTTAATCTACTGTTGAATACGACAAAATAGAGAAGGCCATGATTTTAACGGAAACAAACCCATTTAACACTGGGGTTACTGTTCATAACAAGGGGTTTCTTACTATGCAGTCAATTCTATGTTAGACCGGTTTGGGAAGACAAAGGAGAAAGGAAGGAGAAATTCATGGCATATTTGCGTTAAAATTATTGAGAGAATATATATTGATTGTTAGAACATATATAATGATTATTTCGGTGCTTTTTTTTGGGTATAGCAACTTCAAAAGTAATCATAAAAACAACAAATTTTGAACGTTAATTAATTTAATTGGCAAGCTTAATCTACTGTTGCATACGACAAAATAGGGAAGGCCATGATTTTAACGGAAACAACCCCATTGAACACTTGGGTTACTGTTCATAACAAGGGGTTTTTTATTATGCAGTCAATTCTATGTTAGGCCGGTTTGGGAAGACAAAGGAGAAAGGAAGGAGAAATTCATGGCATATTTGCATTAAAATTATTGAGAGAATATATATTGATTGTTAGAACATATATAATGATTATGTCGGTGCACTCAACTTTTTGGGTATAGCAACTTCAAAAGTAATCATAAAACAACAAATTTTGAACGTTAATTAATTATATTAATTGGCAATCTTAATCTACTGTTCCCCGTAACATTCGTAACCAAAGCGTCACGACAACATCCAAAGGTTCTTATTGGATTCTTAAGTAGGGGGCGAGGAGCACGTAGGAATGCCGACCAAAGCCACTTGCAGCACCTTTACTAGGTTTTAGGAGCATACCACAAAATAGGGAAGGCCACGATTTTAACGGAAACAACCCCATTTAATACTTGGGTTATTGTTCATAAAAAGGGTTTTTTTATTATGCACTCAATTCTATATTAGGCCAGTTTGGGAAGACAAAGGAGAAAGGAAGGAGAAATTCATGGGAATGTTTGCGTTAAAATTATTGAGAGAAAATATATTGATTATTTCAGCGCACTCAATTTTTTGGGTATAGCAACTTCAAAGGTAATCATAAAACATCAAATTTTGAACGTTAACTAGTAGCATTAGTGTAATATGACAAAGGATCACAACTAAACAATCCATTACCCTAACTCCTAAACTTTCAATTTTCAAAACCAACTATAAACCCCAAATTGTGAACCCTAACCATAAATCCATAAACCCTAAATCCTTCAAATCAAAGTAAATCTTGAATGATTTTTTTGTAAATTCATGGAGTTTCCTATCCATTATATCACAAGTGATGATTGACATCGTTAAAGTTCAAAATGCACCCAAAAAAGTGAGTGCACCGAAGACAAAACCATATGCCATACTCCAGGTGATCTGTCCATTAGATGTACTTTGGTGAGATCCGATCAATCTCAATGGTCAATTTTTTTTTTATTAAATTGAACTTTAGGTATTGGTTTAGAGAATTGGGCCCTGGGTTTATCTATTAGAGTAAGGTATAGTATCATATCTCGAACTCAGTTTAATTCATCGTCTGGATAGAGATATCTCAATATAGTGCTTGGAGTATAGTATACTCCAGGAGTACACCACGTGTATAGGAAGTGTACTCATATGGATTTATGGTCATTCATGAACTATAAATGACATTAACGGATAGGATTATTAAATTTTTTTAGGTATAATAATAGTATAACGGGACAACGCGATAGTGTTTTTTTTTTTTTTTTTGCAATCATGGAGGCCGAGGCCAAGAAAAGAGGGGGAGGAGTTACAGAGCTGTCGGCGCCCTAACTTGGCTCTCCAAAGCAACACCCATTACATCATCTCTAAGGATCTGAGATAAACCTCTTGGCGGGTTATAGAGTTCATGCATACTGTAGGGATAGACGAGACTGTGCTTCGAGAGCTAGTCCGCGACTCTATTCCCTTCCCGATATGTATGAACTACCCTAACCAGCCAACTCTGAGCCAGCTTCCTCCTGATAGCATCAAATAAAGAAGCATAAGGGTGCACAGGATCTCGCCGGTGATTAATCAGTTGAATAGCTAACTGAGAATCAGTTTCAACCACCAAGCTGTCGCATCCCAGATTCCAAGCCAGGTCCAGTCCATGGTAGAACGCCCAAAGCTCTGCGAGGGCTGTCGTCGCTTCTCCAATCTTTGCCACAAAGCCAGCCATCCATCTACCTTGCTCGTCCCTGATCACCCCACCAGCTCACAACGTCCCTGGATTTCCGGCTGAGGCGCCATCT